AAGCAGAAGAGAGAAGAGTGCAGTCACGAATTGACGAGGAGGAGAACGAAGAAGAAGAAGGAGAAGAAGAAGAAGAAGAAGAAGAAGAAGAAGAAAAAGAAGAAGAAGATGAAGAAGAAGAAGAAGAAGAAGAAGAAGAAGAAGAAGAAGAAGAAGAGGAGGAGGAGGAGGAAGAAGAAGAAGAAGAAGAAGAAGAAGAAGAAGAAGAAGAAGAAGAAGAAGAAGAAGAAGAAGAAGAAGAAGAAGATTTAGAAGAAGAAGAAGAAGAATAGCTGACGAAATCCGACTTTGCTTAAAAAAGATACATGAAGCTCCATCAAACACTTGCATGACCCGTTTGGCGGTTGATCCTACCCATTTCAGATGGCCGTCAACTAGCACTTTTCAGGGGTCTTCAGGGTCGTATCGGGCCTCCCTCTGCTACAAACCACGCTACATGCACACCTTCTGGACCCCATACACTCAAAATGTTAGAATAGTCAGAATGAACCTGGTCCAGCAAGCTTCCAAATGCATGTAGTGTGCTGTGTTGTGGAGAAAGACTCCTACCGGAAATCAGGCACTAGGTAATGTTCACCAAGTATCCCTAGGCAACGTTCACCAAGTATCCATAAGTTTTTGCAAGCCCATCCAGCTCTTCATATCGCTAAGACTCCTGCCGGAAATCAGGCACTAGGTCACGTTCATGAAGTATCCATAACTTCTTGCAATTCGATCCAGCTCTTCATATAGCTTATCGTAGTCCTCCTTTGATGCACGTTCCTGTTGCCCATGGCTCCATGCAAAGGTCTCTCCCAAATGCTTCTCCAGTTCAACGGGAAACTTGTTGGAGGACTGCTGCTCTCGCAGCTTTTGCATTAGTGTCCACAGTCTGTCCATAGAATCTTTCGCTGCCCAGATCCTGGCGTCCTCTGCTTTTGCTGTTGGCGAACACCAATCCGTTGCCTCTGTCCCCCCACCCGACCACTGCACAACATTCGTCTCCAGTGCACCGGTGGCTTCAACCTTTTTCCCAGTCTCCTTGTGCCCTTTAAGGGCCTCTCCAATGACATGGAGAATCCCATGAGCATCTATATTGACCACTACGAGAACTTCGCCATACTGTGCACCGGGAGTAAAACCGCCCAGCCTCAGTTCCCCAAGCGACCTGTTATGTGCACACAGCACACGTTCGCCCTCAAACAATCTGATCGTGACTACCAACGCTGTTGGGAGGGGAGAAGTACTAAACTTTCCACTTGCAGTGGCTGGAAGGAGAGAATTTCTAGGGATGAGGACACGCCTAATGCCGAAATGTCCCTCCACTCCAATACTTACTGATGTCACATCCCGTACTGATATCTCTGTGCACTTGTCTCTTCTGGCCAGCAAGCCGGCCTGTACTGCCGATCCGAACGCCACAGCCTCATCAGCATTGACTGCCTTGATGAGCAGCCTGTTAAAGAATGCCGTCAGCATCTCTTGCACCTTCGGGATCCTCGTGGATCCGCCCGCCAGCACCACGTCAGAGATCTCATCCTTGCTCATCTTGGCATCACAAAGGGCTTGTTCGACGATTGTCATGCACCTGTCAAAAAGGTCTTTGTTGAGTGCCTCGAACTCCGCACGACCCAATTTCACGCCGAGGACACGGTCACGGTAATCCAAGTCAATCTCCGTCTCCCTTATAAAAGACAGAATGTGCTTAGCGCCCACAGCGACTTGCTTTAGCCTTGGGAGAACCCTTGGATTTGCCAGCAAATCCTCCCCGTCAAGGTGATCCTTCTTGAAACGCTCTGCCACATGCTGAAGCAGGCGTTCGTCTACGTCTGTGCCACCCAGATGAGAGTCTCCCGCCACCGCAGTGCTCATCTGGCCCTTCCTCAATAGTGACAATGGATACGTCGAAGGTTCCCCCACCCAGGTCGAACACCAGCAGTTTCTTCCCCACAGGCCCTCTCCCTGTCAGCTCCATATGGCCGTACGCCAGCGCCGCTGCTGTCGGTTCACTCATCAATCGCAAGACGTTTAATCCTGCGCTAACCCCGGCCGCCATAGTGGCCTTCCTCTGACATTGATCGAAGTAGGCAGGTACGGTGATGACTGCATCCGTAATAGGACGGCAATTGGTGTAGTCCTCAGCGATCTGCTTCATCTTCTTCAGCAGCAAGGCCGAAATTTGTTCAGGCCGGAAAGAGCTTTTCCTGCCCCGTGCCTCAGGAACTTCGAGAACGGCTTCGCCACACGGACCCGACGACACCTTGAAAGGCCATCTCTGGGCATCCTGCTGGACGGCGGGGTCGCGGAATGACCTCCCCAGCAGCCGCTTGACCTCGTAGATGCACTGCTCGGGATGCCTTAAGCCCATTTTCTTGGCAGCGGTCCCCACCAGAGGCTTGTCCTCATCCGTGAAGGCTACGTAGGAGGGCGTTATCCTTTCGCCGAATTCATTTGGAACTATCTCGATGCCGTCAATGTTGCGAAACACGGCAACACAGCAGTAGGACGTGCCCAGATCGATGCCTATGACTGGCTTATCTTTCATTGCCTATCTCTCTCGGTCATGATCACCTAGAGTGCTCGACCGGGAGGCGTGCTGCTTAAGGTGGTTGGCTTGCCAAACACCATCACGGTCCTTGCATTCATGTTCGGGCGATAGACAGGTAAAGGCAACTCTGAAACACATAGCAGCGGTTCAGCCTATTTACCCGCTCCTCTCTCTCTCTCTCTCTCTCTCTCTCTCTCTCTCTCTCTCTCTCTCTCTCTCTC